ATATCTTTCATTGGAAGAAATGTCGCAGGTTTTATTACATAGATAAATATTATAGTGTAACTATTACGTGTATTTGTGGTAAACTCGTTATTGGTGTTATGTTCTGCACCAAAATTCTCAGTAGAGTTCAACGAATATAACTGTTGTACTTCTATATCTACAATTAAAAAAGTTAGAGAAAAATAATTTACAAATATTTCATAATAATTTAATAATAATTTAAAATAGATGTTATATATATAGTTATTAATAAAACGTTTTATATATAGTTAGTAGTAAGAGATTTTTAATTATAAAATCAAAGTATTAAATGTAGTAAAGCCATTCTTTTATCAAAAAGAGAAATTATTATCTACAATGTAAAACAATCAAATTAATATTTAAAAATATATGAAATAATAATAACTTTATCATAAATCATACTATAATACCTTCTTGTCTATCCATCTCTCTCTGAACTAGCGTATTTCTACGAGATCGATTAGTACCACGTCTTTGATTTAAATTAGAAGTATCTTGAGTTTCAGCTAGCAAATAATAAACATAAACACAAAAAAGTAAATTTTGTAGNTATGAAGGACGTCTTTGAGTTTGTGTAATAAAAAANAATTAATGTAGAATATTTGGTTAATAGGAACCAGGTGCAGGGTCTTCTTTTCTATGATACAAAACGAGTTATATGTCAACACGTTTCAACTTCTTTTTAAGTTTTCTTCAGTCGACTATAATAATTACAATAATGGATTAGATATACAAAAAAAAACAAAATTAATGGTTGACAAAATTACAAAATACCGTCTCACCAGTAAAAAAATCAGCACTTCAACATCATTACAATGAGTTTTAAATTTTAATGATGTTAAAGTGTTGATTTTCCTAATGATGAAACGTTATTTTGTTATTTTTTTAACCATCAATTTTGTATATTTTTTTGGATATTTAATCCATTATTTTAATTATTGTAGTCAATTGAAGATGACTTAAAAAGAAGTTGAAACATTTTGTCATAAAACTGATTTTGTATCATTGCAAAAAAGACCCTGCACCTGGTTCCTATTGGTCAAATACACTACATTAATTATAAAATAGTAACTTATTGTTCAAACAGTAATAATATTTTGTAATAAGTTGTAATAATTTATTGTTCAACTATTAAATTCTAGAATCATTATAAAGCTAAAAGCTATTGTCCACCATGGTTAGTTCAAGAAAAATAATTAAGTTTCAGTTA